ACACACGACTTATATCCAATAAACAAAAAAATTGTGAATCAAAACCATTCTTGAATCGACACAAAAAAATTCAGTAAAACCGGTTGAGCCGTTTAGTAGGTAGTTCAGTGACGTACACACGTACAGAAGAATTATATATATAAAGAAGATTATCACTAAAAATTTACAACAAAAGTGTATGTTAAATTATATAACTTAAATTATACATTCCATATATATATATATATATATATTATCTTATATTCTCAGCTTTTTTGCACATATATATGTATATAACATCGTTTGCATTGTTGATTGCGGAGTAGAATGTGCTCCACCGCACATAAATTTTGTCAACATTCAAAAGCCATGGATTTTTTTACGTATTTCCTATATACTTACTAATGAATCTTTAGAAAAATGAGAAAATTGCAATCTTAAAAACAAGAAATATAGTTGTTTCAAAAGATAAAACTGTATTTAAGATTTCTGCGAAATGTAGACACAGAGAGGGGATCTGGTACAATAATGAGGTTATCTACTTAAAGTTGAGCGCGCGGAAAATGTTTTCTCCGCATAATGAAACGGACCAAACGTAATTTTTACGTAGCATTTTTATAATAAAAACACTTCAGGTTATTCTGCTTCAGATGTCTTGAAAGAAAAATAAAATAATATTATTTAATTTAAGCTCGTTAAAGTACGAGTACAAGTACTAATTAGAATAATTTAATGTGCATTTGTAATTGTTTATTTACGCATATTAAGGTAAGATCGAGGAAAGAGACTACAATACAACTAGATTCAGCGCTAAACTTTTTTTTAAACATAAAATCTTGCACAAACTGTTTTATCTCCCTTCTACTAAGCAATAAATAGACAGATTTAAATTGGAAAAGGAGAAACCAAAATAAATAATAAAACCGAGGTCGTAACTTCCACATTGGCATAATTTTAGGGTCGATTAAGTTATGGGCACCATGCGTAGAAAACTACGCTATTTATCATAAAACATTTAGATCGTTACTAACACAATCTTGTTTACCAAATAAAAAGAAAACAAAACTTCGTTTGATGTGCGTGGAAAGATCCCAGTTAGTTGTTAATTTTTAAGTCTAATTATACAAGTTAAGCTCTAAGGTTGCTCACGGTTTTTTGAGTGTCTTAATATATGCATTGAAATCATTTAATTTGAAGTTATTGGATTTTAATTGTGTTACGCAGCAAGAATCCATCAAAGTTTCACTTGATCTATATGAGCATCTCCATGAGAGTTTCTTAACTCGTTCATTTTTAAATACTAAAAAAAACAAATAATCATAGATGTATGAAAGAGGGGCTTTATCGACTGTACTGATTTTCCTGTGGTATTGATTGTGAAATACTCTTAAAAATACCCCTTAATTTATCCAATCAGTAAGTAGAAATTTACGTTACAAAAGAATAAATTGAAAGCAGGATTGGAAAGAAATCGTGATGAATCAAAATGAGTGAAGTTTTTTTGTTTTTATGTAGGTAATTTATATCCGAAGTTATTATTTCAGTTTCTGATGACCTCAATTCAAATTGGCTCCATTCAAAAGGCAAAATGTTTTAATAAATTGATGTCTGAGTTTTAAATTGAATTCCCTCAGTTTTACATTTTCTAGTGAATTTGAAATATCAAATAATTAATGATTAAACGAACTTATCTCTAAGCGAATTTCTATCATAATTATTTGAGGGGTTTCGTCCGATGATATTAGTAACTAGAATTTATTTTACACAATGTCGTAACGCAGAAAGTGCTACCACAGATCACTTGTTTAGAGAAAACGGTATTATATGTAATATATTTATTTATTTATGCTTTATTATTATATTGGATTACATAAGGCGTATATTTTTTAAACAAAATAATCCGTAACATCCTCAAGGCAATTACAAAGTTACTTAATTTGGGTACATTCAATATTAATTACCTAAATAGGTACCTATCATCAAACCTGATGTTTGTGATTTATTTATATTTAATTCACCAACAAGATACACATTAAAACATGCTTTGTAAAATATTAATAAATATATAATATCTTCAACTAAATGGCATCTTAATTGAAGGTGAAAAGACATTCAAAAGTTATTACATTGAAAACAGCTACAAAAAGGAATTAAAATAAATTAAATCCTAAATAAATATTAAAAAAGACGTAGGATTTTTTTTAATAAAAAATAATTAAAAAAATATGTTTATTTAACGGCTTCAACGCGATAGCAGCCGCGGGTAAAAGCTTAGAAAAAAATAATTACTTCACAAATTTATACTTACTATATTTAAGAGAAATACATTTCTGTTTCGAAAGATTTTTTATACTCCGCTTAAAAGGATTTAGTTTTATCGGCTAATGAAGTTAGGTTAGTGGTTCCAGTCCCTTCTAGATTAGTCACGTACAATCCTTATGGAACGGAAGTAGCTGTTTTATCCAGTTAAAAGCAATGTAAAAGATAGCATCGAATGTAATAGTATAATTGGCGTTCTTTTATTATTACACAGCTGAGAGATCTTAATGATTATGAAAACTTTGAAGTAACGTTCTTTTGTCGCTTTACATGGCATTTCAATAACAATATGAAGTATATGTAGGAGTTTAGCAATATTTAAAGTCTTCTATCTTATTCACACAAGGAAAACGAAATACGAAACCATGAACGTAAAGGACAGATGTCAAATTTATTATTCAGACAGACATGTCTGTGAACGGTTTAATAAGCATGCCGCAACCATAATGTTACCCTCGGTAATTCGTAAAGCTGTTAAATACGAAATGCGATTTTTTTATTTCCCTTAAAATAAAGTTATATTATAAAAAGCTCTTATAACAGAAATAAAAAAACACTGGGTTATAAATATGAACGTTTGCAATTTGTTAAAACGTCCAGTCCGCTATTTATTTCCTTTTTGACCATCATCCATACTAATATTATAAATGCGAAAGTAACTCTGTTTGTCTGTCTCGCTTTCGCGCCAAATCTACTGGATCGATTTAAATGAAATTTGGTACACAGATAGTCTAGAGCCTGAGAATGGACATTTTTGAATATTTTTTTAAAGAACGATATTTATTTGAGGGCTTCAACGCGAGCGAAGCCGCGGGCGCAAAGCTAGTTATTTATAATGAAAAACTGTAGTACCTATTAGGTTAGAATACAAAATTATACTCTATTGCTTCCGATGAGTGAGGTTTGGGCTCAGATCTCTCTTAAAGGTCAGCATCAATACCGCAGTCGGTCAGGTGTTGTGGAATAAATAGCAATGCTTAAAGGTGTTAGACCTTCATTTTTCATGAACTTACCATCCTTTTTTAAATTTCTTGAGCATTTAAGGGTTTTAGATCAGAATTGATATACATTAGTATTTAATAATTAATAATAATAATCTCCTGCTAATAAACAGAATTGAATAAACACTGTATAATTATGACTAAATTGAAACTAAAGAAAAAATGCTGCTTGAAACGTTTCATAAGCGAAGCAAAGGGAATAGACATATATGTCGAATTGTCCACAGATTTACAATGCGGTGCGAAGTCATGCTTCTAAAACGACTTTCATTACGCGCAGCTGTATAATTGCCCCCAAACTAAAATTTTCACATATAAAGAGATAGGTATGTCATTAATTATAGTGTTAACACACATTAAGAGAAATCATCCAATTTTATGATTTTTACGGTGAATTCTTATGTGAAACAAAAAAAAGCTCGTAAATCATTATTTTTGCCTAATAAAAATATGAAATGGATTAAATAGGAACGTATATGCAGTTAGTTCCATGCCGTATGCTAAGAATACCATGGACGGCCCATCGCACAAACATCTCTATTTTAAAGCAACTTAGAATAGAAAATGCTCAGAGTGCACACAATCTGCTTACAACTCATAGTGCGATACTTTGGCCATATTGCACGCAGAGGAGCAGATAACCTCGAGCGTTTGATAGTGACGGGAAAAATAGAGGGTAAAAGACCTTGAGGCCGTACTCATAAAAGGTGGGCGGATCAAATTTACAAAAAAACCTGGAAATCCCCATAAGCGCCGTACTCCACCAGGCGACGGAGCGAAACCGATGGAGACAGCTCGTTGACCAATTAAATAAGAGTCACGATCTTCAGCAGTGAGGAAACGACTAAGAAGAAGAAGATATGCAGTTCCTCTAGTTATGCCACTGGTGCTCATTAAGTGCAGAGACTAGCACTAAAAGTAAAAATTTTAATTAACAAACAGTGACTAAATAATGAGTATGCGTGAGCGCTGTCTCATCGTTGAACAGTTAAGCACTATTCTTACCAGTCCTCTCACGAGTAACAATGAATCGAGTACATTATTGATACATTTGTAATAATTTATAATTAGATAAATTAAATTTTGGTATTTAATGAAGAACGTGAACTATTAATGTTCCAATTTTATTTTAATGGCTCAATCAATATAAAAATTTTCACAATGATTTCCGCACTACATTTGTGTCATAGGGGGTTCCATTTTGAAATTATGATTCCAAAAAGTTTACGTAGTATAATTCAGTATTTATGCATTTTATTAAAAGTTAAGAATTGGTTTTCTTCAAGTCCTGCGGCTGCAGCTAACGTAATTAATACTATTTCTATTATTTATTTACTGAGGAATTTAACGGCAAGTTTTACTGTTTTCTTAATTATAGCTTTTTAAGCAATATTGGATAGCGTTCTAAGATGGCTTACTTATTGTTTCAAATTATTTAAATAAGTTAATAAACTTACTAAAATAGGTTAAGTAACTTATTTAAATAAGTTATTGTTTCAGTTTCCATCGACCTAAATTCAAATTGGCTTCATCAAAAAGGTCAAACATTTTGATAAATTGTTGATTGATGTCTGAAACTTAAATTGAATTTCCTTAGTTTCCAGAATTATAAAGAGAAATTGAAATATCAAATTAACGGCACGACTTTGATAATGTAATTATGAAGTACGTAACTTTAAACAGATACAGAATCATTTGAAAATGGAAAATATTAAAATGTTAGCTCTAAGCGGGCTTGTGGAGCTCACTTTGGATGCGCGATGCGGGGATAAGTGGGACGGGTTGTGGGTACTCACTTCATTTTCTGGCACAGTGAACCAAACAGGATCTTGGCCTCCGACACTAAAAGGCGACACTGCTCTCTACTCTTGGCTGTTTCTTGCCCGTTTGCAGATTGGAGAGCGCTCAGATCTTTCTGGACTTCATCCTTCCAGCGATGTTGCGTCACTCCGGATGGGTGACCCAAATATTATCGGCGAAACGAAGGCCGCGAGACTGCATTGGCTCGGCCACTTGGAGAGGAGGGGGGAGGAGCGTGCCATCAAGAGAGCACGTATGTGGATGCTAGACGGGAAGTTTCTTCCCTTCCAACCGAAACCGGATGAGCGATGGATCCACATATTTTTCGGTCGGTAGGAGATCTACATACCTACGCTATCTATTTTTTTTGATAAAAGTTAAAAAACACGCCCGCCAAATCCGTGATTGCATAGCCTGTGCCCTTTATTCCGGCGCCCCCGCCCACTATCAATGCCTGAATCTAATCAATCCAGTCTAGAGTAGAAATTAAAAAATAGTGCCTCATGTCACAATACTTGTTCATCTTGCCTTCATCTGCAATACGTTCAGCGAGAAAATGCAGCTACTAAATCCGTTCTGGCAACATTGCGTGGGCAAACATGTTATTTAGTTTGTATTTAACATTCTAATTATTTTTTGATCCATACGTTTTTTGTTTGATATTTTTCTTGAAATTCCGTTAAAATAAACCTTTTACGTCTGAAAAATAAATGACTGAAATTACGAATAATAATTATTTTTAATTAATGTTTAACATATAATTTTGTGTAATTTTGTATAAACATAGTAAATTAGTGTATATATGTTGTAAATTATATGTATATTTTAAGGTTGTCGTTGCACTTTCAGTATTTAAGATTCAGTGTATCTATAATAGATATAAATTATCCTATTCATTTTGATTCTCGGCTATATTATTCATTGAATTCAAAATATTATGAATTGAAATATCAATGAATAAAATGTTAATTATTCTATCTTATGAAGAAAACTACATACGGTTATTTCACACATCCATACGCGTAACGGTAATATGCGGACTCTATTATTTAGACATGCTATATCTAAAAATGCTTTAATAGGCAGGATGCAAACGTATGTAATGTTAACTGCGCCAATTCTTAATACTGATGACAGACAAAACATAACTGTAAAAAGTTGCAATACTGGTATATGGGATGTTATAAGTCAATGATTTAACTTTATTGGCTATGTAAATCCAACTTTAAATAAATTAAATATTTTTCATAGTAAAATTTTACCGCAGTTTCTCAGCTCTTCGTAATGTGAAGAGTAAATTTACGTCGAAGGTAGAGATAATTTGTAACAAAATACTTTCAGTTCTGCCAACGGCAATAAATATTTTCGTTGGAGTTGTTTCGAAATAACTTTGTCGATAAATTAAAGCGGCATTACAAATTCGTGGCGAAAAGACGTACATTTTGTCGTTTTTCTAATTGAATTTATAAGTTTAGTAAACACTGTTCATATTTAGATGTAAGAAAGGCGGATTTACAATTATGTAATAATTTAAATCTCTTACATCTATCCCATATTTTTCAATCAGTGTGGTCCAAATTATCATGTTTTTGTATTAGATTTAAGTTTTATAAAATTGCATACCTTTTAAGCTGCATTGCATATTCACGCTTGATTGTGGCGCACGGAACAAAGCCACAAACACAAAGCATGTTTACAAAAAAATTTGCATTGTTAAAAGTGGAAAAATATTTCATACTAGCGTTTAACTGCGGATTCGTCCGCGCGGCCAAAGGGTTTTAAAAATGAGTTTTTTTATTGTACACCAAAATATCTCGCAGATGGCTGAATTTTTTTCTACTTAGTTGATACTTATCATTACCTATACTTTGTATACTATGTGTTATTCTGATGTATAAGTTATATTATTGTAAAGTTGCGTTAAAATCGATTCATTAGTTTTTGCGTGAAAGAGTAACAAGCATACATCCATACATACAAACTTTCGCGATTATAATATTAGTAAGGATGATGATGTTGTTGATACTTTTTTATAATTATGTACCTGATTTTTTAAAGACCGATAAATTGCAGATGCGTTGCTATTTTTAATAAAGGTAGCTGCGGCCACTTTACTCAACAGACGTAATGCACATGTATAACACTTCGACTTTACGCCGGTCTTCTGTGACGTCGTGGTTCGTATATACTTACGGGGACTGACTCGTCCATTCGTGCAACAGCGAAGACTGTTGCGTAGCCCGACTACGGCTTAAATACATCTACAGATTAATACGAACCGTTATGTATTCTGTAAAAGTCGTGTTAGCAAAATTTATAAGTAACAAATTATACTCTGCATTAGATTTTATCGTCGCCTCTCATGCAAAAATTGTGATTTAGTAATTACATTATTATGTATACTGTGTAGTCAAGTCACCAACATGCGAGTATGAGAGCTTCATTGACCTTGACATACATATACAATCATTGTTCCTTGAGGTTATTAATTTAGTTATTAGTATAGTTTTCAACGTAACGTAACTTATTTACCTATAATAAAATATATCATTAGGAGTACGATATGTTCACCCAAAAAGCACACACATTGTATATAGGGAGATTTTTTGAGAAGTGCCCAACTTTACACAGAGGGTTAAGACTCTGTAGTATAATCGTTTGTTGAAGTAAAAACAAAGTTTTTTTCAAAAAAAAAATGCCATTCTATTCCCTAAAAAACAGAACGTGTTGACAATACGGTAGTCATTCATAAATACCTAAATTTTACTGTGCACGAACTTGTGTGTGTGTTAGTTATTAATGATCGCGCTTAAAATAGAGAGTTGCGTATAAATCACGCACTTCTTGAGATAAGTTCAAATGAATGTAATTAATTACTTACGAGTGATTATAAATATTTATCATTTTTATATAACATTATTTATGACTAGAATTTAATTAAAAAAAATGGATACACTTAGAAAAGTCATCCTATATATAAATAGCTAATGGAAAGCGTTCGGTGGCGCTGACGCGAGTTCCATGATTTTTGTTCAACCAAAAAGTGCTCAACGCGCCTAAAGAAGTTTTCACTTCAAAAATACAAACATCTTGGATCCTATTATTGAAAGCGTTTATTGAGATTTATCAAGCTTGTCAATAAACGCTTTCGTAGGTCGAGCGTCTTTAATGGATAACTGTATTCGTTTAGGGTTTTCCCGGTTTATAGGGATGGAATAACTAACCAGTTTATGACAAGATATATTTAAGAGTATTTTTGTATTTATTTTATAAGATTCAGAAATGTGGAGGTTTCGTCACGATGTTTTTCCTCCGCTGAACACGAGGAATTATGATACAATAGTTGTGATTAAAACTAAGTAACGGTTTCATTTAAAAGTAATGGTTCATGCCGGCTCCGGGTTTGAGCTAAGGCTGTTTGTGTATATTAAATTAAACCGAGCGCTCGTTATCACTGAAATTTTTATCTGATTTGAAGATTGCAGGTCAACCTGCATTGTGAACGATTGTAAAGGTGGTAAAAGCTATATGGATATCGAAGTTTATAGAAGACGTGTTATAATTATTGCAAAACTAACCATAGCATGTATGGATGTCACACTCGCAGCAGAATCTGAGAATGTCCCAGGCATATTTTCATTACCCACAAGCTGGCAGTGCCTCCGACGGGGTCACGTGTTAGAAGTTCGAAACAACGTTTCCAATACTCAAAATTTGTTACTTTTTATAGCTTCTTGTCATTCTCTACTTTGTGTCGAAATTTGATTGAATCGATAGAAGGTTTTACATTTCTAATAGACCGATTTAGTACAAAGTTGTTTCACATTTGGGTCGAGATTATGGCGATAATCTATCACTTTTTAGATTACATTATATCCTTTTTATGTTGGTTATCAGCAAGAAATTGGCTGTGCGAAATTTATCTTACTGCTTGAAATAAACTTAATAAAAGAACAAAAAAGCTAAACAGCAAGTAGATTGAATCGTTAAACAAATTAATTGCAAGCGCGTTAGTGGTAGCACATAATCGAATCAAAGGGAAAAGAGACAAATGTCGAATTGCTCACAGATTTACAACGTGGTGAGGAGTCTGGCATCCAAATTTACGACTTTCATTACAGAACGCTCCATGATTGCTCCTAACTAAGAGACAGCTAAATTTTAAATTTAAAATATCAAGTAAGGGTTTAAAATGAAATTTTTAAGAGGAATAATTGTTGCTATAAATTAATTTTTCCATTTACTAATATATCTCTTAACTATCCATAACTATCTCTAGTTTTCCCGGTTACAATTGAATTAAAAAAAAACTTCCCTCTGATTGATATATTAGAATTTTTCATTTTTGTACAAGACGACTTACCAAGATCAAAATAGCTGCAACGCTACAGTTTCTGTCGTGACTGTGACAATAGTTTTTGTCGCGTTGCAGTAACTACGGCCTAGAAATGTTTGAACAATGAAAAGTTTAAACAAAAACCTTTGATGCTGTTCAAATAGGCTTATGCGCTTGAAAATATTATGTTTTTTTAAGTATTTATTAACACGTTATAGTTAATTAAGTAAATACCTATGAAGGCCAATTTCAAATAAAAATAATAACTAAATTTTACTTAATTTATCCAATAAATAAATAAACATGTATACCATCTGTGGGACAGAAATAAATTACGGGAATTAATAACCAACAGTAAAAAATACGCGGGGTGAATATTAACATCTGTCAAAACTTACTTATTAAAAAACTGTTCTGCAAAAGATCGTAAATTTTAAATTTATTATTATACATTTTAAATTTTTGAAATTTCTTCTCAATTAAAGTCTCATCTAAAATCTTCGTTCTTTACGGACATATTTTAAGCCTAAAATGGAGCGCTTTCTTTGTATCGTTAATTTAATCTTTTGTGGAGTCAGAATAACTTTTAAGTATAGTTTTCTGTGGTAATTCTTCAGACTAGAAAAGTTTTGAAAGATGTCGCACTTCGTACGTCTCTGGAAATTCTTCACGTCTACTTTAATAATTTTGAGAAACTTTATTATGCTCAATTGAAATAAAAAGAAAACTTTGATTATTTTGACTTGGACTTGTATGATGGTAATGCTTTTGTTAAATTCAAAAAAATTAAATTCTAATTTCAATCTAACGATAAGTGTAATTTACAATCCTAGGATCGTTATCCTAGCAAACTAGGTTTAGGAATGTCTCTTGCAAAAAATAAAATCTTTAACTTCACGTAAGAAATTCGCGATTTCATCCTTCTGATCCCTTATAACAGTATTTAACTGATTTAACCCTGGCTGATTGGCTCACCATCATAAAACGGATTAAATGT